GATAATGTTTACTGACAGCACCCCTAACATTTACACTCAGAGAGGCACGGGCCTGGTTTTGTTCACCATTGTTGCCACATTATATGCACACAGCAGACCCTCAAGAATATTTACGGGATAAATGATGGTAACTGCTTTTAGTTTTGTTGAGAAAATAATGAAAAAACACTGCTAGAATTCAGTAAGGCTTTCGAATGAATTTATACTCTATTAATTACAAGAGCATTACATATATGCTTTGGTGGTAAAAGGAGTACGATGTACGTAATTGAGGGTTCAATAACAACTGAGGAGTGGGGCCTTCTTAAAATTCTCTATCCCTTTCCACATCCTTCCGTCCTGTGTCCTTCATTAATTCTTTCAATAAATGGTCAATGTGTATCTTTTAGCCAGAGTATTCTAGACATTAAGAACACAAAAATAAGACAAAGTAATGCATTGAGTAGATAAAAATAACACTTACAGGATATGACATACACCAGAGATACAAATATAGATTATAAAATTGTAGTGCAACAGGGGATATAATCAACATTTTTAAGGTAGGCGTTTAGGGCGTTTAGCAGTGATGATTACAAATACTCCCAAAATCAAATAACAGAAGGTATTCTTCTGTTTACTTTATATGTGAAATGAGGGTTTTAAGTCTTAAAGAGCTATAGTTATTTGCTACCATGAGATAAGCTAGCCCGAGAGTGAAACCAAAACAAGGGGAATGACACAGCTGAACAAATCACAGAGAAACTGAGCCAAGTCCTTGATGATTTCAGGCTGGATAAAGCCTTAGATAAAGTTTAGCTACAAGATCTAATCATTCCCTTTATTGTTTAAGCAGCTTGAATTTGGTTTTCTATCACCTGCAATATTAAGAATACAAGTTAATGTCTATGAATTCTTTCAAAAAGCAAAACCACTGTGACAACCAAAAATGTCCCCATATATTTTCCAAATTCCTCCCAATCCCAATGAGAAAAACAATTTCCTAATAGTTTTATATGTACCCATTTACCTCAGTGGTTCCACCAGGTACACATAAGTGTACTTAACAACAACCTTAGAAGAACAGGGATGCATAATCCAGTTTTAATCAGTCATTTATGACTATCTCAATGTTTGACCAAAATCATACATATAGCTTCAATCAACTCTTGGGATAAACAGTGCTGTAAGTATGCTCCTACTACTGGAAAGTTCTTATTTACATTTACTTCTCCATAAAACACGATAGAGATACGTCACTGATCTTGTCGGTCACGTTACCCTCAGCCATTCACGTAACTTCCTCCTAGACTGAAATGCCAGATAATGATCTTTCCAGCCCCCTGCAAGCAGGGCATGAACCTGCCAGGATGACATCTGACATAGGGCTTCTGTGAAAGGTTTATCACTTGCCTAATCAAGAGACTGGAGGGCAAACTTCCCCCTATCTTTGTTTAACTGTGTGAGAATGTGAGGTCTGGAGCAGACAGTAATGTGCAACAAGGAGAGGAAGAGCCTGAGCCCAAGGATCAACACACTAAGGATGAAGATGAAAAGCACCTCGATCCTTGATATAACATCACTGTACAGCTACACTGGATGACCAGGAATCCTCTAACTCTGGACTTCTTTTTATGTGAAATATTGTTTACTGTTGGTTGCTATTATGTAACCCAAGGCCAAACTAACATAAGATATATTCAAGATCTGACAGCTGCTCAAAGTGGGAGAACCAAGATGACTGCATGATTAGAGTGGGTGGCTAGGAGAAAGATGTTTACAAAAGAGACATTAGAAGGAAGAGAAACACATATACACACATGCACATGTAAACACACTAGGTGAGGGAAGGTGGCCTAAACCAAACTTCATCTGATTCTGTTTCGTATGAGGTAAGCTTATGACAGTACACGTCAGAGATAGAGAGCAAGCAATGTAGGTGGGAAGTCAAGTTAACAGAACTGAAAAACATCCACACAAAAATGGTGATTCAGGTCATTAAAAATAGGGTACAACCACCAAGACAACACAATGAAAAGCACAGAAATCCTTGAGTATACTCCTTACCCATGGTCATTTTAGATGAGGCTCATCTACCAGTTTGGCCAATTAAAATAATTCCACCCCTCTTGACAAAGATACTGTGACAGACTCGGCAGCAGGACCTTCTCCATCGGTTCAATCAGAATAGAGGTTAGGGCTTTTGGGAAGAGGCTAGACGAGAATCCCTCTCTCTTGCTTTGGAAATCAAAAACATTGTTATTAGCCACTTTTTTTTTTTTAAACTAGGGGGGAAGCTAGTCTGAGCACAAAGCCCAAACAGGAGGACAAAATTGAGATAATAGCAGAAAAATGGAACTTCAGCCCCGATGATGTAAGCCTGTTCCTGAAGCCCATTCTACCTATGCACTTGCCAATTATAGACGCCAACACATTATTTTTCCTTTCAAATCCAGTTTGCATCCTAACTAATGTAGGAACCACTACGTTTGGGGGTTAGAACAGCGTAGGAAATGTGAAAAAACTTTCAGAGACGGGAGAGAATCAGATAATCTTATTCCTACAGAGTATATTTCACATATGGTCTTATGAAACCAGGATAACCGAGGAAAGGCCATCAGATTTGGTGATCAGGAGGTCACAGGCGACCTTTAGAGTAGCAACTTCAGTGTTGAAATTTAAAGGAAGTCTGAGTGCAAAGGAAAGAATTATTTATATTTATTAGGAACTCCATAACGTACCAAACACTCGGGTGGACATTTAACAAGTGTTAAACTCCTTCAACTATGACTCTAAGTTTAATGTTCTATTTTATAGATAAAGAATAGAGTGAGTAGTAACTTGCCCACAGCCACATAGCCACTAAGTGGTTTTAAGAGACTCAAAAGTCAATGTTCTTCCTACTACACCAGGCTCTCCTGGAATTAAAGGATGAAAATGCAGTGGCACAGTGGGCTCAAAACCCAGACTGGGGTTCCTTGAGTTGCATGGCACACAGCCCCCTGTTTGGCAGCCAGGTCAGGAGCACCTAGGTAGGCTGGAGGGAGAGGCTGGAGAAGGAATGAGAGAGGACAGTTCTACAGAAAGGAAGGCGGGGAGGGAGGATTGTGGACACATCTGCAGGGGACTGCTCCTGCAAAAGAGGAAGGACAGTTCTTCCTCTGAGATAGCAGTAAATAAGGAAATGATACTGAGAACAGAAAAGAATATACACCTCAGACAGTTGAGATTTTTTCTCAGGAAAGGAAGAGATCAAGTTACTTGCTATAAAAACCTTCAGGAAATGAGACAGAAAGAAACACAATCAGCACTAAAGACCCGGCGGAGAGTACAGCACCAACTGGTATGAAAACTAACCGGTATCCACCCATAACTGTCTCTTTATCCTTCAGGATCTCAGGGGTCAAGCTGAAAGAGCTAGCAAGGAGGCTTATTCTGGACTGGGGACTAGAAAGGAAAATCCACAGAAAACAAAGCATTCTAGGGCATCAAGGAGCGCTTAGTGAAACCTGATGACAGTGCGGCCCTGGTTGCACACGGAGGCAAGCGAGATCAGCAGTAGGCTACCGGGCTGGATGAACAGGGAGACCCTGGGAGAGGGCACCAAGCACGTTAGCTAAGAGCCTAAGAGCCGGAGAGTAAGAGCTTAAGGGCGCTTGCGGTCCGAGGTGTGTTCGGACGCAAGCCTTCAAGATATTTTGCCAGAGGCAAAGAGCCACTGACAGGAGCTCAGCAGTCCTACTTTCCCCTAAGCCAGAACCACAGAACCGAGAGATAACCCTTCTAGAAGCGTTCTGTCCTTGGCTGCAGAAAAGTGAAGGCTCAAAACAAACAAGGAACCCGCGAGCCCGTACAAGACTCAAGCCTCGAAACGCTCCGCCTTTCTCGAACTAAACAATCCTATCCCTAAATTTAAGACCTTAAAAGAAGGCAATTCATGGAGAGGTCCGAGCGTGCAGCAGAGGGGAGCACCGATCACGTGCCCAGAGGCGGGGTGGGGGCTGACCCGGAGACCCCTTCCGAGGCGGCGGGCGCGGCAGGCCGCGGGGCAGGAGGGCAAGGACGGCGAGCGCCGCCCCGGGGCGACCCGCGCGTCGGTCCACCGCGAGCCGGCCCGTGGGCGGCCTCAGGGGAGCTGTCATCGGTACCCGTACGCGGGCGGCCCACTTTCCACGGAGGGAAGCCGGTGCCCCCACGAGGCTCGCGCAGGAGGACGGGCCGGGAGGGCTGGGACGGCCCCGCGCCCTGCCCGCCAGGCGGGGAGCCCCGGCCGCGCCGACCCGCCCACCGCCTTCGGCCGCACAGTGTCAAGTCCCGTCGTGGCCGGCGAGTAGCGGCAACAATCGGGGATCCAAGACGTCGGGGAAGTTCTGGGTCTAAGACCCTTTTCTCCATTCCCGTCCTTGGTAAGGACAACAAAGAGCTGGTACACCCGGGAAGCCAAAGCCTCAGGGACAGGACAGCGGACTCGGAAGGCCCGGGAGGGCGCGGGCCGCCCCGGGGCGCCCGGACCAGCTCCACGTCGCGTCGGGCTCCGCGCTCCCCCCCGCCCCCCGCCGCTCTGCCCTCGGGGCGCTCCGGGCGGGGCCCCGTGAGCCTCCCGGGCGAACCTCCGGCGCCCAACTCGGAGGGCCCACTGGGGGGGAGGGGGCGGGGCTCGCGGGCCGGGGTCCCACGGGGGGCACGGGGGTGTCGGGGTCTCCGGGGGGAGGAGTCGGGGGTCACCGGGACGCCCGACCGTCGGAGGGCTTGGGGCTCGCGGGCCGGGTCCCCGGGGGGGATGGGGGCGGGGGTCACGGGGGGCGGGGCGGGGCACCCGGGGGGGAGGCCGCGGGGCTCGCGGGCCGGGTCCCCGGGGGGATGGGGGCGGGGGCGGAGGTCACGGGGGGACGGGGGCGGGGGTCACAGGGGGCGGGCCGGGTCCCCCGGCGGGGGGGCCGCGGAGGCGCGGGGGGCAGGGTCGGGCCGCCAGCGCCCGGCTCCGAGCGGCAGCCCCCCCGCGTCGGCCGCGCCCCACTCACCTGCCGGACGCCGCCGGGCGCTTCCTCTCCGCCGGGACGCAGCCGCCGCCGCCGCCGGGGCTCCGGGAGCCGCGGGCGCAGGGCGGCCACAGGCAGGCGCAGCGGCGACCGGACCCGAGCCCAGCGAGGCGCACATAGGCGGCGCCGCGCGTCCCGTCCTCAGCAGCGGCCCGCGGCGCCCCCCGGGCACGGCATCGCGCCACCGCGGCCGCCGCTCCCCCAGCAGCCGCCGGGTTTCCGGGGGCCACACTCCGCCCCCTGGCTACTTGGCCTCCGCCATCTTGCCGGAGGCGGGAGGAGTGCAGCGCGCATGCGTGCGCCAGGGGCGCCGGCGTGCCGCTCCGCGCGGGGGCCGCAGTGCGCAGGCGCCGCGCCGCGGGGCCCGGGCCGTGACGTCGCGGGGCCCGGGCCGTGACGTCACGGAGCCGTCCCCGCCGCGCTTGCGGTCCGCGTGGCGCGACCGGCTGCTGCGGCTGTGAGCTCCGAGGCCGAGGAACAGAGCGCTCCTGCTCGCCCTGCGTCACTCGGTCGGCGTGGGCGCCCAGGCGGGCGCAGGCGAAGCCCCGGCGCACCTGGCCGGCCGCAGGGGACTGGGACGGCGTGCGGCCCTGCATCCCTGCATCCCGGTGCAGCTGCGCGCACCTGCGCTCCCCCCAATCTTAACTCGAAGCCTACGTGTTCTGGGCAGTCCTCGTGTGTCTCGCCGTTCTGCCTGTTCCTTCGCCTTTACCTCTGGCGTGATTTCATTCAAGATTAGTTCACCAAATAATATTTGAGTTTTATTATGTACTTGACAGTGTTACCTAGGCTCCAGGTTTATAGTAGAAGGAAATACGAAGTCACGGCCCTGACCTTGTAGCGGGAAACAATGGGCAGTGAAAGACCTCGCAGGGTCACCGTGTGGGGGGGTAAGGACCGGAAAGGGCGATCCCCGCGGCCGTGGGCGATCCCGAGGCGATGGGCGATCCCCACGGCCATGGGCGATCCCGAGGTGATGGGCGATCCCCGAGGTGATGGGCGATCTCCGAGGCGATGGGCGATCCCGAGGTGATGGGCGATCCCCGAGGTGATGGGCGGTCCCGAGGTGATGGGCGATCCCCGAGGTGATGGGCGATCCCCGAGGCCATGGGCGATCCCGAGGTGATGGGCGGTCCCGAGGTGATGGGCGATCCCCGAGGTGATGGGCGATCCCGAGGCGATGGGCGATCCCGAGGCGATGGGCGATCCCCACGGCCATGGGCGATCCCGAGGTGATGGGCGATCCCCACGGCCATGGGCGATCTCCGAGGCGATGGGCGATCCCGAGGCCATGGGCGATCCCCACGGCCATGGGCGATCCCGAGGTGATGGGCGATCTCCGAGGCGATGGGCGATCCCGAGGCCATGGGCGATCCCCACGGCCATGGGCGATCCCGAGGTGATGGGCGATCCCGAGGTGATGGGCGATCCCCGAGGTGATGGGCGATCCCCGAGGCCATGGGCGATCCCGAGGTGATGGGCGATCCACGAGGTGATGGGCGATCCCCGAGGCCATGGGCGATCTCCGAGGCGATGGGCGATCCCGAGGTGATGGGCGATCCCCGAGGTGATGGGCGATCCCCACGGCCATGGGCGATCCCGAGGTGATGGGCGATCCCCACGGCCATGGGCGATCCCGAGGCGATGGGCGATCCCCAAGGTGATGGGCGATCCCCGAGGCCATGGGCGATCTCCGAGGCGATGGGCGAGCCCCGCGGCCATGGGCCTTGGCGCTCCAAGGGGGACGCCTGACCCAGCGGGCTGAGCTCGGGGCCGGGGCCAGGGCAGAGCCTCCCGGGCAGCCCGCACGTCAAATGCAGAGGCCTGGGCTGGGTATGAAGACCGGGAGGAACGGACGCTGGGTGGGATGGACCGTGGAGGGAGAAGAGACGGGAAGAGGCGGGGGTCAGGTCACGTAGGGCGTTGAGGCCCTGGTAGGAGTTGGGTTTTCCTGCAAGGCCCGGGCCACCTCGTGGACGCTGCTCCAACCGCTTCTCAAGTACGGATGCTTCTGACTGTCCCACTGCTCTGCACTCGCTGATCCCGCGGCCTCGAAGGCCTCCCTACCCTTTACATGTCTAGCTTGTCATCCTTCAGGTTTCAGCGTCGCTGCTGCCACCTGAGAAAGGCCATCGTTCCTCAGCTACATCTCCTTCCTGCTCTCCGATTAGGTTCCAATATTGCACCCAATCATTTCCTCCACTTTTGTTTTTCTATTTCACCCATCCACTCACCCCGCTTCTCCTCCAGTAACCTAGTGTGTTCTCTGTATTTAAGAATCTGGTTTGGGGCACCCAGGTGGCTCAGTCAGTTAAGGATCTGACTCTTGGTTTTGGTCCAGGTCATGATCTCAGGATGATGGGATCACACCCCAGTTCACCCCAGTTGAGGCCGCATAATGCTCTGTGCTCAGCTTGCAGCCTGCTTAAGAGTCTCTGGCTTCCTCTCCCCTCTCCGCTCGTGAATGTACTATCTCTCTCTTTCTTTCAAAAAACAAACAAAAAAATCTGGTTTTTTTGTCTCCTTTTTTCTTTGTTTATTCATTTGTTTTGTTTCTTAAATTCCACATGAATAAAAGGTATCTGCCTCTAACTTTTTTCACTTAGTGTTATGCTCTCTAGGCCCATCCATGTTGCAAATGGCAAGATCTCATTGTTTTTTTATGGCTGAGTAATACTACATTTCATATATATATCTCACATCTGTATCCATTCATCTGTGGATGAACACTTGGGTTGCTTCCATATCTGGGCTACTGTAAATAATGCTGCAATAACATAGGGGCACATTATTTTTTCAGAATAGTGTTTTTGCTTTCTTGAGCATCTTTTCATGTGTCTGTCGGGCATCTGCATGTTTGTTTTCGAAAGATACTTATTCAGTCCCCTGCCCATTTTTAAATTGGATTATTTGTGGGGTGTTTTTGCTATTGAAGTGTATAAATTCTTTATATATTTTGGTTATTAGCCCCTTACTGGATATGTCTTTTGCAAAATCTTCTCTCACTTAGTAGGATGCTTTCTCATTTTATTGATGGTTCCCTTCACTGTAAAAAGCCTTTTATTTTGGTGTAGTCCCAATAGTTTAATTTTGTCTTTGTTTTCCTTTGCCTGAGGAGACATATCTAGAAAATGTTTTTACAGCTGATGTTAAAAAAATCACTGGCTACATTTCCTTCTAGGATTTTTATGGTTTCAGGTCTCAAATTTAAGTCTTTAATCCGTTGTGAGTTTATTTTTGTGTGTGGTATAAGAAGGTGATCCAGTTTCATTCTTTTGCGTGTAGCTGTCCAGTTATCCCACTGCCATTTGTTGAAGAAACTGTCCTTTTTTTCCCCATTGTATATTCTTGCCTCCTCTGTTGCAGATTAATTGACCATATGTAGGTTTGTTTCTGGGCTGCCTCTTCTGTTCCATTGATCTATGTGTCTGTTTTTGTGCCAGTACCATACTGTTTTTTTTTTCCATACTGTTTTGATTACAACAGCTTTATAGTATAACTTGAAATCTGGAATTGTGATACCTCCAGTTTGTTGTTCTTTCTCAAAATTGCTTTGGCTATACAGGGTCTTTTGTGGTTCATACATGTTTGTTCTATGAAAAATGTTAATATTTTGATAAGGATTGCATTAAATCTGTAGTTTGCTCTGGGTAATATGGACATTTTAACAATACTGGTGCTTCCAGTCAACAATGAGCATGCAATATATTTCCATGTGTTTGTGTCATCTTCAATTTCTTTCATCAATGTTATATAGTTTTTGGAGTACAAGTCTTTCACCTCCTTGATTAGTTTATTCCAAGGTATTTTATTATTTTTGGTGCAATCATAAAGGGATTGTTTTCTCAATTTCTCTTTCTGCTACTTCATTATTAGTGTATAGAAATGCAACAGATTTCTGTATATTGATTTTGTGTTCTGTGACTTTACTGAATTCATTTATTAATCCTAGTTGTTTGGTGGAGTCTTCAATTTCCTATATATAGTGTTATGTAATCTGCACATAGTGAAAGTTTTACTTCTTCCCTGCCATGTGGATGGCTTTTTATTTTTGTTGTTTTTGTTAACTGATTGGTGTCACTAGGACTTCCAGTACTATGCTGAATAGAAGTAGTGAGAGTAGACTCCTTGAAACATCAACCTTCCAAAACTGAATCAGGAAGAAATAGGAAACGTGAACAGATCAAGTACTAGCAAGGAAGTTGAATCAGTAATCAAAAATCTCCCAACAAACAAAAGTCCACGACCAGATGGCTTCACAAATAAGTTCTATGAAACGTTTAAAGAAGAGTTAATACCTCTTCTCAAACTATTCCAAAAAATAAGAGAGGAAGGGAAACTTCCAAATTCATTCTACAAGGCTAGTGTTACCGGGATACCAAATCAGATGAAAACACTACAAAAAACCCACAAAACTGCAGGCCAATATCTCCGATGAACACAGATGCAAAAATCCTCAACAAAATGTTAGCAAATCAACTGCAGCAATACATTAAAAAATCGTTCATCATGATCAAGTGGGATTTATTCCAGGGATGTAAGGGTAGTTCAATATTCACAAATCAATCAACATGATATATCTACAAGAGAAAGGATAAAAGACATGTGATCATCTCAGTAGATACAGAAAAAGCACTGACAAAGTACAGCATTCATTCATGATAAAAACCCTCATCAAAGTAGGTCTAGAGGGAACACAGCTCAACATGATAAAGGCTATATATGAAAAACCCACGGTTAATGCTGAGAAACTGAGAGCCTTTCCTCATCTATGGTCAGGAACAAGACAAGGATGTCCACTCTCACATTTCTGTTTGACATATTGTTAAATTGTATGTTTATTGTTTCTTCACTGTCCCATTAAATTGTGAACTCCATGAGAAGTGAAGATATTCTGTTTCCCAATGAACACCCTGTGCCTAGCACCATGCCTGGCAAGAGCAGTCACTCAATAAATGTTGGCTGAATTAATGAATGTGGAAGTTTGTCAGTTACCTAAGCAGTCTGTGACATTCAACACTGTTTTTCACTTGTTAGTTTTTAAAATTAAATGCAAGTCATTTCCTATTTATATATCTCCTCAACTAGATTACAAATAGGGACTTTAAAAAGAGAGAGGGAGAGAGAAAGAATAAGATGGAGAAGAGTAGGTGATGGTGGGGCAGTGGGCATATGTTTGCAAGACTGGGAAGAGGAAGGCGTCCATTTAATGGAGAGTCTATTTTATGTGCTCTGCACAATGCTAGGTCCTCAGTCCTCACCACAG